CCATGTTCTACAAGTTTCTGCTGTCCTCTCCCAAAATTAAACCAGATGGATGAAGAAATCTTTGGGGATGAGATGTGAAATATAATACATCAGAGGCAGGGAATCTGGAACAAAATATGTAGAAAATGAATAAATCTATCAAAACCTAGGACTGAAACTAATGTGCAAGTAGGCAGCTTTCCCAGCCTGCTCTACCAGTACAATCCAGATGTTATCTAGAGTACTAACTAGACTCATTCCTGGGGTTTGGCTTTATTAACAAAGAAACCAACATTAAGGTAGCAAAACTCAGCTCAGATCTGCTCCCCAGACTTGTCTGCTTCTGTGGCTCATTTGTTGGGAGTGCTCTGCCTATGCCAGAGGCCCTCTTCGTCCAGACTCTTACCTCTCCTTTATCCAAGAGGGGTAGTTATTCATCTTCCTCACTGGGCAGCAGTCCATCCCTATTCATCAAAGCACTCAAACCATAATTAAGTCCCACCAAATAGGGATGGATTTAAGCATGTGCTTAAATGCTCTGCTGAACTGGGGCCCAAGTCAGAAAAACCTGCCTAATCCTTTCCCAGCAGGATCAACATCTGCTAATGTTAGGTTGTTTCAGGCAAACACTGTCAGCCTATTACAATATTATTTTTTATTATATTTATGACAAAGTACTTGCTATTTTTAGGTTATTATAGTCCAAATGCTGGGTGAATAGTGAAGTAAACTGGGGAGAAGGTGTGAATTTAGCCACTGGGTGATATAGGGTTAGCAGCACACATTGAGCAGGATCTCTCTCTTTGAGATATACAGTTCCTCATTGTGCTGATGGAAAACCTGGCCATCTAATGAAACAGACTGAAAGGAGCTTTATGAGAACCAAGCCCACTCTTAATTCTGGTTTTACTAACATTAGAAAGTGAGCAATTAATTTCTTTACTGCCCCAAACTCTAAATCCAAACAGAGCTACACCACTGAGAGACTTGTTTCACAAATGTTAGAATGGGAGAGGATACCTTTACTGAGCACTAATTATCCTTTGAGGTCTTTCAGGTTCTTAGCAGTGGTTTGTTCTTGTTTATCATTATCTTATTCAATATCAAGTTGCATAGGTATTATAATAGAAAAACAGGATCATATTAGTTAAAATTAATTTGAATGTTTATTTCGCCTCTTGAAACTTAAAAAAATAGTCTGAAACAATAAGTGATGTTTGTGATTTAAATCACTGACATTTTGAAGCACATTTTGAAACAATTTTTAGAATTGTTGAAAATATTTGACTTCGTAGTTAAAATGCTGAGGATTTTAAGTCAGAATTTATACTGAAAAGGGAGCTGAAAGGCTTTCTAGTTAGAGGAACTCAGGTGATAGTAGCGTAGACAATTTTTTTCTAAGAACGTAACCTATTCTGGAAACGGTATTTCAATGAAACTCCTTTACATTCTTCCAGAAAGACAAGAACATTACATTAAATACCCCTCTTCCATCCCAGTACTGCTGTAAGTTTAAGTTTTAAAACAAGCAATGATGACTGTTCATTGTATGAAATTGTCATGTCTTGCAAGCATGTTTTTATCTCACAGTTACCAGGACTTTAGGTTTTGATCATCATTCTCAGTCTAGCTTGCTGTAGCATTAGTTAGTCTGATACTAAAAACCTGTAATTTCTTAAGGGTTTGATCCTGCAAACGTGCTGGGTGTAGTATTTGCAACTGTGAGTGAAAATCCCATTTATGTCAACCACTAGACCCAATAGTGTTTGTAATATTGGGCCCAATTCCCTGATTCTGCAATTGAATTCAAGCAGGTGAACTCCTGTGTTCATGTAGAGAGCCCCACTGAATCCAATGGGGCTCTGCCCAGATCTGGTTGCAGAATCAGGGCTTATGTTTGTAATAATACCCTCTTTCCTCCATCTGATGTCCTCTGAATATTTTTAATTGCTTTGACTTTAAATATTGGATCAGTGCTTATTATGTTTAGATTATATTATTCAAAATGACTGTTTCAGTTTCCTTTGATTTTATTTTTAAACATAGTTAAATGCTCAAAATTGAAAGCTTTTCACTTGACCTAAAACAATTTTTTTGAGATTTTTCAGATATGCCAGCAAACTGAAACATCAATTATTTATGCAGCTCTAACTATAATCCACTAACAAAAACATACAAAATTGAAAGAAAACAGGAGTTTGTTAAAAGAGTGCTGACTCCTTCAGTTAAAGACTTTGCAGTGACACAAAATGACAGATAAAAGATGCTGTTGCAGGATATTAATTATTTATTCATCAAAAATCATATTGTATCTTCAGTCCCAGCTTTCTGAAGAAAAACTCTAGAGTAATGCTTGCTCCTTAAACTTGAAATACTAGCTTCTAAAATTATGTGCTGAGAGTATAAATACTTGTAAGAATATGGCATTGTTTTTGGCCAACATAAGAAAGAGAGATTGAGACCTAGCAACTCACTAGCATTACCAATTAAGGACTGAGAGGAGTGGGACTCATTCTCTTCACTGCTCCATAAATACACATAAAAGCTTGTGCTTTTCTCTTCTGTTTCTGGATTAATTCCTCTCCAATGACATAGTCCTAGTCTATTAGCGTAGTGGTTCTCAAAGTCGGTCCGCCGCTTGTTCAGGGAAAGCCCCTGGCGGGCCAGGCCGGTTTGTTTATCTGCCGCGTCCGCAGGTTCGGCTGATCGGGGCTCCTACTGGCCGCGGTTCGCCGCTCCGGGCCAATGGGAGCTGCGGGAAGCGGCGTGGGCTGGGGGATGTGCTGGCCGCCGCTTCCTGCAGCCCCCATTGGCCTGGAGCGGCGAACCATGGCCAGTGGGAGCCGCGATCGGACGAACCTGCGGACGCAGCAGGTAAACAAACCAGCCCGGCCCACCAAGGGATTTCCCTGAACAAGCGGCGGACCGGCTTTGAGAACCACTGTATTAGTGGTTCTACTTGCACTGTCCTTAGTGGGGGCAGAACTGGGTTTAGGCTATGGACTTTAATGGAAGTAGAATTGACATTGTAATGATATTTCCAGTTCTACAGGTTCATCAACTGAGACCTTGTGTAATTTTGAAAAATAAAATGTCATAAATGTTGAATTTTTAATTTCATTAGAATATTTAATTTCAGTGTTACTTGTTGAATGCATTTTTACTCAACATGCTCAGATTTTTCTTTCATGAATCTGTTTGATTGATTAGTTAAATAGACTAAAGACGTAAGTTCCTAACTCTTAAAAACTTACATTGGGTCTGTGTCATATTACAGCTGTGGAAAATATAGACATTCGAACAATCAGTAATAAAGATATTACAGTCCTTTGATTTATGTTGTTATAGAAGAATTCTGAAAATATCATGGATTGACTGAGTAATTAACAAAAAAGTATGGGACATGATTGGAACTCAGCAAACAATAGTCAGAAATCTTAAGAAAAGAATTATTTGATTTGCACGGCCTATTTTAAGAGGTTCAGCCGGCAATGCGTGTTTATGGGGAGTGGAAGGGCAAGTTGATGGCAGAAAAACATACGGCAAAAAAAGATCTTGGACGAATGATGTGGTATCCTGGGTGGATAAAAGGGATTATTCATCCACAAAGAGCTTAGCAGATCATTGTACAGAATGGGCTACCATGGTTGCAAACCTCCAGGAAAGGAGATGCCACAAAAGAAGCAGGGAAAGAAAAAAAAAAAATCCATCACTGACAGTGAGTGATATATTTCCCCAAATAAGTGTGCCACTTGCAGAGTTAGGTCCTAAGCTTGTAATTGCTTATGCATGTGGTTGTCTAAGCATGCAACTAAGCCCTTCGTAATTACATGCATAAAGATTTGCTGGATCACAGCCTGATATATATATATATATATATATATTCTCATTTTCTAGGTGCATTTGTGTAATTCACTAACACTAATGAGCCTTGCATACCATCTAAAAGAACATGTATCGACATGGAATGTCTTGCAATGTATGTCTTCTATGGAAAGAGTTTTTATAGTCTGAGCACAATCAGCGTATGGGCAAGATATGGAAATACTTGTCAGCCTGTTCTATAAGTGCTGTTAGCTTTTTACCTAGTCCTTTTGGTCTTCAAGAAAGAAGAGTTAGGGAGTGAAATGCTGGGACCATTAAAGCTAGTAGCAAATTCCCACTGATTTCAATATGGTCAGAATTTCACCTAGGAATTTTTGTGTATTTATTATTTGCTATATTTCTGTCACTTGTGATACAGACTGAATAGAAACTTAACAGGGCACTGTCAAGATTAAAAAAAAAATAGCTGTGTCAGCCTTGTAAAATTATCACAAAAAGTGGCTAGCCTAAACACAAATTTCCTTGTTCTTATAATCATGACTTAAAAAAAAAAAAAAAGAACATGCCCATCCCCTTTCTTCCCCTGCTCCTCCAAAACTAAATCCATATCCAGTGGGCATGTGGAATTTTGCAAGGCTCATATATTTTTGAACGGATGCAAAGGTCTTTAATTAGTTTTTTCTCAGTCCTTACTTGGATATGATTCCCACTGACGTCAGAAATAGAGGAAAAGTTTATTTAGAACCTCTGCAATAAGCCCACTGTAAGTTCTGAAGTTCTTTCCTGTGTTGATATTGACACTTGATTAATACCAAACATTCTGAAACAAATATTATGTACTTTTGTCCATTTATGTGCTCGTGCTCTCTTCCAGTTTATTCAGGTTGTTTTCAGTGACATTAAAACAAAACCGATGGCATTTCTATTTAGTAGACTTTGGTAACCCCTGTCCCCTCTGCCTTTCTCCCAATTTTAATCTTTTTAGCTACCAAATTTTAAGTATTGGTCCTTATTTGCCTGACAGTGTCCCCTTTAATGCTACACCTACTAATGGCAGGTAACATTTTCAAAGTTTAAAAAAGGCTTACTTCCCAAGAAATGGATTAAAAAGTTATTGTTCACAAAGAAAACTGTTCACTTTCTTTTAAATATATTCAGATTAACAAATAAGCAATGAGAGTGTGTTTGTTCTGCAGAGTGTAGGTGCAGAGACCATGAATGAGAATAAATTTATGACTGTGGATCCCAATACCGGGCCAATGGAAGCCGCCATCAAACCATTGCCATTTAAGGATCCAAACTTCATTGTAAGTATTTTAACAATTAGAAATTCTCGAACTTTAAATGAAATAGTAACTAAGATACTATATTACTACATTGCTAATATTCCTACTAACAAAGTAAGATTAGGAGCCACATCAAGGGTCCATATCATACCATCAATTTTAAAGAAATTCAGCTTCAAAATCCATGCCAGGATATGGCCGAAGTGTGCATTAAATTACAGAACATGAAAATGACACTAGTCCAGAGGCAACACTTCTTATATTCAGTCCTGACCCAACGCCAAAAAAGCACTGCTGCTAGATCAAGGTACCTGTAATGGTTTTATGGTCTGGTATCTCGCAAGCCACCAAGGTTAGAAATGAACAATTTATACCATTGTAAATCTGGGAATCCAATCCGTTCAAGTGCATGAGGCATTTGTTCCTAAGCCCAGTCAGGTTGCAAAATAATGGGACTAAACATCAATTATGTCGTTAGTGATTGCCATTATGCTCCCCCTCAGTAATTTCATTTCCAACATAATGTTAGCGGCCATTCTCTCAATTATTAGAGCTAGAAACAAATACTTACTACTCTCTAAAATCTTGGCATTCCAGCTTTCAAGTGGTGGAAACTCTAGCAATTTGTGAAGTACAGGCTGCTAAAATAACGTCAGAATTAAATTGTGGATAGAAGCATAGCAAGATGATAATAGCTAATAATGTGATTGTGGTAGGGTTTTTGTTTGTTTTGTTTTAATATCTGCTATCTTGCTGCTTGCTGGGGCTCAGACCCCGTTGGCAGACTCTACCAAATGTTCTTTGGACCAGTAACCTTTTCAGAGTGCTAGTCCTAAGCCATTGCTCAAAAAGAAAGATTTGATCCTTGTAATTTAATTCTGTATGAATCAGATGCAACCATCCCACAGAATAAAGCCTGAGTACTCAGTCTTTGTGTAGTTTGCTAAGCAGAGGTTTGGCAGGGGTATGAAATTTGCCCCAGAGTCTCAGGCTCTGCATTTAGACGACTATAGCCTTTGCTCCTCTGAACTCTCCTCTAAGCACCAGCCTCTTTGGATTGCATGGTTTATGCAGAAGCCTCTCACATGCCCAGAGCCTCTCCACATAGCTTGAGTACAGGATTTGGGTAGTGCAGATGCATTGTGCTGGCCCTCCATGTCTCAGGTGAATTTCACCACGTCTGAATTGAAACTGCTGATATCCACAGGCATGAAATCTGAGGTATGTACAGAATCTAGTACGACTGTTGCAGAATTAGTTGTAAAATTGTACTGAAAACTACCACAGAATTGTCTCACACTTGAAACACAAATTAATCAGAGGGAAATTCTAGGAGCTTATTCTGAACCCACATCTCCATGAGCTGCGATTAACAATTCTGCTGACCTTTAAAATAATTTTATCTTAATTTAATCTCATTGCGAAGAAAATAAAGTCAAATAACTTAACTTTTAAAAGTATGCCAAAAACTGAGAAACTTTTAGTTCGCTGTACAAGAGAGAATTTTTGGTTGCAAATTTAAAAATAAAAAGCAGGAAGGAAGAAGTTGCCCATTAATTGTTAATCCCAAAATATCTGGATTTAAGTCCTGATGCTGCAAGGTGTTGTGCACCTTCTGGCAACTGAATGGATCAAAGGGTTGATAATGGGATCTAGAGCCTTTCTCCCATAAGTCACCAGCTCACATGAAGCTGAATTAATTTGCACTTGAGAGTTGTTGCCATTTGATTGCTATCATGTAAGATGAGACTCACTCCAGGTCCTAGCAGACATAAGTTCATATCAGTATAGTTGTTGGCAGTCTCCGCAGGAAGATCCAGGATAGAGAGTACTTTTCTGTATCACTCATTCAAACTCCTAGAGGTGATCCCTCCAGAACAAATTGGAGGAACATTCATAGAACAGTACAGAGAGCCTTGTACTATCTTTGCCACTACTGTACCTTTCCTGTCAATAAAGCTATCAGCCCAATACCTTTTACAAGAAATACACAAGTGCATTAGGCCCAAATCCTGCATTTGGGTCTCTGTGGGTAGGCCTAGGAAGAAATCCCTGTCAATTTCTAAGGCACCCCATACAGGTGTAAGGATCCATCTGCATAGATCCACAGGCAGGATCAGGGCCTTCTCAAGCCTATAGCACTGAAATTGTGCTGATCTTGCTTATGTAAATCCAATTTATAGCACTTTCCGGCTATTTAAGTAAAGTATAATCAGCAAGTATCGTTGTTACACCACCCATCCCCGTTGGTATTTTTAAACATTTGGAAACGCTCTCAGTCCCATTCTCAATCCCTCGATCTGTTCAGATGCCAGAAGGTGCAGAGCACCTTGCAACATCAGGCCTTAAATCCAGATATTTAAATCTTGCTTTAGTGGATTTAAAAGCAAAATATACCATGAAAAAAAAAGATAGCGTTCTGTTTTTTCTTCCTTTTATTAAAGCAAAAATAAACATATTCTTCACAGTGTAATAATTAGTGTATTTCCAGTTTGGTTGAGTCTTGCCACTGGCTTTAGATCATGTCATAAGTGCCAGCAATAGGCCAAATAGATAACTTTAAACGTGATGAGGTAGGGGAAAAATCCATGTAATGAATCTGAATTACAAATGTGTTGGGATGGAAATGGCTGTGGTATCTGTCAATAGTCTCTCTCTTTCAGTGCTATCTAGGTTACCATGGTGTTACTCATATAACTAAATATTCCATCCACTTTCCATTTTGGATAGTCATTGCCCAACAAAAAAAAAAGTTCATGAGCATCCTCCCTGAATACAGTATCTTACAGTCAGCTCTATGGAAGAATCTTTTAACAGTGAATCCTATTCATCTACTTTACCATTCCCACCTCCTCCCATTCCCATTACTTTACACGCCAATTTATAAAATACAGCCAAAATGTGTTTGCAGAACTTTGTGAGAGTTTTGATAAGGCTGATGTGGTAGGTAGTAATTATTAACAGAGATAACACTTCTAGCTATAAGAAAAAAAAATTTTTTTTGAAGTAAAACTGAGAAGCTGAGTCCTTTCATCATTTAGAAGTAGTACAGTATGTTGTATATCTTCTTCCTCTTGAGGGACATAAATAAATTACTCCATAGCAATCACATTTGATAACTGAAATTACTGTTATAATAACTATAGCAAGGCTTCCTTTAGTATAGCTTTCAAAATGCAAAATAATCTTTCCAGTACAACATTCTATTACTCCTTTTCTATTCTGCTGTCTTCTTTCATTTGGAAGAAAAATAAGATGTCCACCAGGCTTCTTATAGCATTGATTACATTTTACAGGATCAGTTGTATTTTTGCACAATCACTTTTCACTTACTGGAAATACAGCTGCACCTGTAATTTTGTATATGCCATGCAAAAGAGAATTTAGACGTAATCACAATTTAGATGCAACCCCATAGTAAACAGTTTTAATATGATGGGAAATGCATACAAGTGCTGAATCCTGTAATCTCAGACTAACCCTAACCAGACTGATTTTCTGTTTCCATGTAAAAAGCAGATTTTAATTTCCTTTGGTTAATCCCAAACATAGTAGTTTTGACACAGTTCAAAAAAAATCTTTGTTTTTCTTGCAACTGAAATTAAAGTGTACAGTGTGTTAGACTATTGATTAAATAAGTGAGCATGATAAATGGTTCATGACAAGATGAGGCATATCGCAAAGGCTATGAAATAAAAATGTCATATTTTGAAATAGTCATCTTTATTTTTTCTTAAACACTACGTTTTAATTCTAGCACTCTGGCATTGGTGGAGCAGCAGCTGGCAAGAAGAACAGAACTTGGAAGAACCTAAAACAAATTCTTGCTTCTGAAAGGGCATTGCCATGGCAACTCAATGATCCTAGTTGTAAGCTGCTTAGATGCTTTGCATGTATTTATAAATAATAAAATCCACACAAATTACTTTCTTTTAAAATGAACCTAAATTTTATCTGTGCATGCAGTATTCTGATTGAACAAATTCCTGTGATATATTTAAGAACAGCCTGACCCCACAACCAAATGGAGAGGAACATGCAGCACGTAATTGGGAATGGTGTTAGAAAGTTTGTGCCTGTTTGAGAGAGACAAGTTTGTGAGGAAAATAAATCTACGAGAACCAAGTCCTGAGTTGCTTACTCAGGTCAAGATTCTGTCACCTTTATTCATGTTGAGTGGTACTCTATGAGTAGCCCCATGTCTGCCTTAATCTACTCATGGAGTAGATAATTGCTCAACATGAATAAGAGAGGCAGAATCTACCCCTCAGTTTTTATCTGGGCAGGCTATAAGAAATCAAAAAGCACCTCAGGAATTGAGTATGTTTGCATTTTTTAATATTTTATTTATCAGCCTGTCAGGGTATATCTACACTGCAAAGAAATCCCTGTGGCAACAAGTCTTAGAGCCTGGTCAACTGACTCGAGCTTGCGCCATGGGGCTGAAAATAGCAGTGTAGATGTTCCTGCTTAGACTGGAGTCTGGGCTTTGAAACCCGATGAGAGGGGTGGATCTCAAAGCCTGGGCTCCAGCCTAAAAATACACTGCTATTTTTAGACCCCTAGCGCAAGCCCAAGTTAGTTGATCCAGCCTCTGAGACTTTTTTGGTAGTGTTTTGTCCAAAAATAACTTGCCATTTTTAAAAGGGTTTTCGAGACTACTATTATAGAAAAATGCAGACTACTGTGTGTTCCTGGCTATTGTAACTGACAAACTGCTGATGTTGCTATTTCCACTACATTCTGTTTGTAAAAGTAAATGTACACATTTAAAAAAAAGATAGAAAAACGAATGTAATTGCATATTTTAAAACAGCTGCCTATGGCATTAATATCTTTTGAATTATTGCCTTATAGCGCACATGACGATTAAAGGATCTGTTCTGCTAAATTGGAATCCTTCATCCATAAAATCTGAATCAGATGCATGTGGAGGGAAAGAAGCAAGCGATGTACAAGATATTTTTGTACATATCAGTACTTTGTCGAGTTAGGGTTTTGTTTTGTTTTTTTAAACTAATGAAACATACCAAGATGTGTCTGAATAAACGTTTGCATACAAGAGCAATGCTATTACTGTCTAAGGGACACCAAAAAAATAGCAATTTCTATCATTTCATTTAAGTATTCAGACAATTTTCTAGGTCATTGGCCAGGCTTAAAGTGGCACATGCTTAAAGATTTATCTGATTTAAAAGATTACTTTGCTTTTTTGGATTACAGTATTTCAAAGCTTCAGTCTTGAGCAATGTTTGGTGGTCTTAACGTACAGCAGGCATAGTGACTATTCTTGCAGATATAATATCTCTGACTGTAGAGGAAATATTGTCATTAAGACTTACATGAAACCATGGTGTTTGTAATGCAGTACAAATAGCTCTCTTGCATTTTTCTTCCTTTAGGGGCCAATCCTGCTCACCTTACCCCTGTCAGTAAGGCGAGCAGGATGAGGGCCTTAGTGTACAAAGAAAGCAAGCTAAATGCTTTCAGTTAATTCTGTTTCATGTTTCTTTGCCTCACTGTTGCTAGTCAATAGAAATTTAATTTAGTAAAATAATTGTTTTTCAACAATTGTTTATCTTTTCAAGTGTTATTTTTATTTAAAAAAAAAAAAAAAACACAGATGTGACCCTGAAAAGATAGACTGCAGAAGTTAATATCTTCCTTTCTCTCTTTGACATACTTTTAGACTTTAATATCGAAGCTCCTCCTTCCTTTAAACCAGCCAAGAAATACTCTGATATTTCAGGACTTCCTGTAAGTATTTTTTTAAACTTATCTAAATTAGCATCTAATTTCTCACAACACGAAATAAAGATGTATTCAGGTAGGTCCCACTTCAGCAATTTACTTAAACGTCTCCCATTGATTTAGAGCAAGGACAGGCAAACTTTTTGGCCTGAGAGCCGCATTGGGTTTTGTAAATTGTACGGAGGGCTGGTTAGGGGAGGGGGTCGTGGACCGGTCCCTACCTCCTATCTGCCCCCCACCCCCACCCCTGGACTCCTGCCCCATCCACATACACCTGGCCACCCCCGGACTGCTGCTGCCCCATCCAACCCCTCCTCTCATTCCTGACGCCTCCCCCCCCTGGGGCCCCTGCCCCATTCAACCACTCCTTCTCCCTGTCCCCTGCCTGCCCCCCGCCCCCCCCCCCCCCCCCCCCCCCCCCCCTTCCTGACTGCGCCCCCCAGGACCCCTGCCCCCATTCAACTCTGTTCCCCCTGACCACCACCCCGAACTCCCCTGCCCTCTATCCAACCCCCTCTGCTCCGTGCCCCCTTACTGCGCTGCCTGGAGCACCGGTGGCTGGCGGCGCTACAGCTGCGCTGCCCGGCTGGAGCCGGGCCACGCCACCGCCACCACGCAGCTCAGAGCACCAGGTCAGGCCGGGCTCTGCAGCTGCACTGCCCCAGCAGCTCACAGCCCCGCTACCCAGAGCATTGTGCCGGTGGCAGAGCGAGCTGAGGCTCTGGGTGAGGGGGGACAGCGAGGGAGGGGCCTGGGGCGAGCCTCCCGGGCCAGGAGCTCGGGGGCCGGGCAGGACGGTCCTGCGGGCCGGATGTGGCCTGCAGGCCGTAGTTTGCCCACCTCTGATTTAAAGCCAAACCCTGAGCTAAACTGCCTCTGTATCACATAGCTCCCAAAACCTAGGTGGACTCCATGGCTAAAGATCCAAAGCAGATTAAGAGTCTTGCCCCTTGAGATAGCTGCACAAGTTCCCCTACCCTGCTTCTTCCCAGGGGTAGAGTCTGGTTCCCCCGACCCACACACGCTATAGGTGGAGCTGGTAGCTCACATTTCCCATTACAGGAAAGGACCCTGTTTTCAGTTGCTTATAATTTTTCCAAACTTCACCATTCAGACTAAAACTTTCTATGTCCAGTGTCTGTCTCCAGCTCATTATTCTTAGTCTTATTTGGAAACATGATTCAACAGTTGCAGAGAGTAAGATTAGGGAAAAATATGTTGTTTGGCTCACTTTCAAAAAAATTCTACAACTGTTTCATTGAGAAGCTCTAATGCCCCTATGATTTGGAGTAGTAACTTGAAATTTGGCAGTAGGGTAGCCTTTGTGTCAGGGATATACCTTTTGCTGCTGTTATGAAAAAAACACCCACATTTGGCCAAATTATAAGACTTTAAAAAATGTCAGTTCACATATGTTCAGTAGAGACTTGTTAGAATTTGGCAGCTAAATTCTCCATCTGCACTGAGCATAGTTAATGCAGTTGCATGCTGTCCTGGAGAACTGGATTTTACTTTTACCTCTGCTACAGATTTCCTATGTGATATTAGTCAAGTCACTTAAATTATATTTTTAAATTAACTGTGTGGTTCCTCAATTTCTGGATACCGAACTTTAAGCATGTAGGATCTGATTTGTGAAATTGCTGAGCTGAGTGCAGAAAAACTGCAACTGAAGTCAATAGAAGTTTTGCTTTGAACATGGAAAGTGCCATATAATACTAAATACTCTGAAAAATCAGGTCCTGGGCATCTCAAACTGGGAACCCAAAATTGATGGACACTTTTGACCTTAATCTCTCTGTGCCTCAGTTTCCCATCCCTAAAGCTAGGATAGTAATACTTCGCTACCTCACAAGGATGTTGTGAACATAAATTCATTGTTTGAATCACTCAGATACTGTAGTGATGAATGTCATAGAAGAGTGCATGGGGAAATTAATAATTCTGTGTTCAGAACAGGGTTAGAGTAGTGTGCAGTAAACAAGGCGGAGGGCCACACATTGAAAAATGAGGAGAAAACAAAGCATTGAATAGGTGCTCATTAAGTGAGCACCATCCATTCTGGGCACTGAATGCTGCAGGAGTGCTGAGATAAAAATAGAATGTGATCATGTAATTAAAGATTGTATCATAATGCATACACACAAGGGAGCTGGAATTAAGCTTGTATGAACAACATTAATTCGGGCATTTCCTAACTTTTGAGAGCTTTACTTTGCAACCTTAATTTTCTTTTAACATTTTTTTTTAATTTTATTTATATATATATGTCTCCCAAGAGATCCTTCATCTCTGAGTGAGTGATACCTGCCACTTGGATCTCAGCTGGCAACTCCTAAATCTAGAGGGTTGATCAGACCACTGATTCAAACACATGCCTTTCTTCCCTGTCATTTGGGACTTAGCTCGCCCACCCAATAAAACCTCTCCCCTTCAGCCAGTTTGCGTTTTTAACTAGAGTATTATATATATTATGGTAGCACCCAGGATCCCCAAGGAATGATCAGGGTTCAGTTGTACAAAGTGCCACATAAACAAGTAATCCAGAAGTCTCTCATTCGATAGGAAAGACAGGGCGCAACAGGTGGCTGAAATAGACAAATGGGGGGTTGTTTGTATTATTGTTACCTCACCCTCCCAAACAGATTTTAGCAGAAAAACAGGATGCAACTAGTGTCTTCATCCCCCTCCCCTCCCAATTGCTTTGCAGGTTTTAACAGTAGCCCTAATTGGGGTTACTTGGGTTGCAGTAACATCTCTGGCCTAGCACAGGGGAGGGCTGCTGAGGGAGCGTAATTGCATAAGCCTTTTCCACTTCCACCTCCCAAAGCAGCTCTATAATTCCCTTCCACATTGGCCTTGACCCTCTTCAGAACTGGGCAGTTAGTGAGCACATGGATTAGAGAGGGTACTATTTCCCACTGCTACATAAAGATATGTCAGAGTTTGGCTCTTAATTAGCCAGAGGAGACGAAATTTAACCTGGGGAGGCCTGTAGGTTTCCTACTGACTTCAGCAGGCTCTTCCCTTCTTTTTCCCCATCCCCCACTGTCAATGAGCTATGTAAATGTAACTACTCTAGCATGATCCAGATAACCTTTCTCTGATGACTGCATTCAGCACTGCTTTTTTTCTTTTCTCTTTTGGCTCTTTCAATTTTTCATCTGAATTCATCTTGGGACAAATTTCCTATTTTGCTTATGGCTGGAAGGTTTCTCTTGACTGATAAAAATATCCTGCTTAACAACCTTTCTTATTAAGATAGGAGACGATGTGTCCTTTAAATTGCTGAGTCAGAACTGGTTCATAAGAAGCACGACATTTATTCTTAAAATCACTTCCTAATGGGAAGATACAGTACGTAAGGGAATATTTTAGAAGTCTAGTCCAAAAAATGTCCCCCTGTTCTCTGTGAGAAATCTGATAGCATTTGTATGAGAACATTTCCTGTGAGGAGTGCAGGATTCCCCAAGAAATGTTATGTACAATAAATTCTTTAGCATTACTCATGTAAGGAAGTATTAAATGGTCTGTCTTATATAAAATGAGGAGTGCATTAAAACTCTCCCATCAGTACATCAGCAGTTATGTTAAATACCACAACTGAATTCTGCTGATTCTTGTCTCTCTCTGTGTGGTAACACAGATGGAATTATATCCCTTAATGTTCTAATAAGGCAGCCAATTTATAGTTTTAATGCGGCATATGCTAAAAGTTCAAAAAGAATTGTATTTATGGATTGCATTTGCATTTCTAGACACATAAGCTCTTCTGTTGAAACTTAGAAGGTAGGCCTTTGGTCATATTAACATATAGAACAAAGTAATTTAATCTAACAGAAAAAATTACTCAAATGCTTGAACTTCTGCCTTTTCTGAAAATGTATCAGCTTTGGTGCTATAGAAACAGACTAAGATAATTACATACTTCAAAACATGATAAAGTATCTGTGGCCTTTGACTTAGTTTACAAAATGTGGAGGACTTTTTCCTTGCAAAATTGCATTGCTCTGCTTTCTATCTGGTTTAATTATTGCAGAAATATTTGAAAAAGTTTTAATCAGATTGCTTCTAACATAATTTATCTGAAAATCACTAGATGGTAATTACATCTAGTATATAGTAATATCTTGACCTCCAGTGTGAAGTGTAAGACTGGTAGAGGATCCTCTCAGGGTCACAATTTTTTAACAAACATTTAATGAAATGCAATAAATAAGTAGATATGATTTAGCTGAAAAACTTATTGCTATTGTCCGTTAAAAATCAACACGTTTGCTTAGATTTTCTTACACACCTTGAGCCAAACTCATAGAACTTTGGTGTACCTACAACTATATACCCAGAATAACTGTGTTGACTACATCAGGGATGATATTGGCCCTTCATTAAGTCCTACATTTGCTATTTTCTGAAAGGTAAAATATTTTCCATGTTAAGTTAATGTTTTGTGACGTTGTAAAAAAAATAGAATGCTATATGGCAATAGTCCTCAATATACTCTGCTACATAACTCTTACCAGCCCTGGCTGTTGACTATCCTATAGCCACGTACTGAGTTTTCACTTTAGAGTGCCCTCCAAATTTTTCCGCCATGGAGAACATTTCCTTCCCACCATGGACCTGGCAGGGGGTTCAACACTACACCCTGAATCTGGGGGGACCTGTGCTCTTCTGCAGTGCTTCCTGTCCCCTGGTTCCTTTGGTAGTATGCTTCTTAAGGAAAGCAAACTTCCAGTGCCTCAGCCTTCCACCATCCCAAATCTCTTGTCAGGGAGAGCAAGGAAGGAAGGTCTCAGATCACTGCTGGGTACGACATAAGATAATACGAACAGGGTCAACAGTTATTTCAGATGGGCCTAGGGCGGAGAGAACAATAGCATGGAGATTAGCTTTTCTCTTGGTTCTACCCAATGTGCTGAGCCTGATAGCTAATATATGCTCAAGCTTTTTGGGGCAACAGGGAGGGAGGGATGATGGAGTGGAGCTGGAACCTCACCTAGGAAGCCCTAATCCAAATGTAGCAGAAGTGGAGGATACAAGCTAGACTGGGGTGGGCAGACTTTTTGGCCTGAGGGCCGCATCTGGGTATGGAAATTGTATGGCAGGCCATGAGTGCCCGGTGGGGGAGGGGGACTCTATGGGGTGTAGAATGGGGGGCTCTATAAGGGATGTTACCGAGGTGGGGGCAGAGGGGACTCATGGGGTGTGGCACGGGGGGGCTCTACAGGGGCATACTGGGGACTCTTAGGGGCCCTGCCGGCAATGACCCCAAGGCGGCCGTACGAGGCACTGCCACGTGTGGAGACACCCTAGCTGGGATAGGTGCGGCCCCTGGGTGGTTTCGAGGCTCTCGAGGGTGGGGCCATAGAAGACCGGGAGGAAATTGGGCGCGCTGCTGCGTGGAAGGCAGGGGGCGGGGGCGGCGTTTCCAATCCCGGAAACAGCATGGTGAAGTCGCACCTGTGCATGTGGCTCTGCATGCCGGAAGATGGTGCTCATCAAGGGAATTGTGAATCGGGGGCTGGGGAGCACCAGACGGAGCGGAGCAAGTCCCCGACCCTGCTCCCCGGCGGGAGCTCGAGGGCTGGATTAAAACGCCTGACAGGCCAGAAGCGGCTCCCGGGCTGTTGTTTGCCCACCCCTGAGCTAGACCAATGTTAGTTGTGTCACTCAGCTACATTATGATGCTGAAAGCAGAAATGTGGAGTAATGCAAAACACTGAGTTCAAATTTCTTATCAGTTCAGTCACAGAACCAAAAGCTTTTTCTTTACAAAAATCTTTGCCATTTTAAAGAAAACTAAAGCTACAAACAATCCGACACAAGCAGGGAAATCAAGCCACAGCTTTCAGACCACCCATAATTCAGCCTCTTTGTTGGTAATATATTGGCAACAACCCCATTCTTTGGAGAACTACCTTGTAAAGGACTGTACCAGACACACAGTTGCTAGGGTGATGTTAGAGAGCTGTGGTAGTTTTTTTTTCTGCTGTGTAGATTTATATGTGAAGCTATTTTAGCCCTATTATGTTTAATGCATTTTTGATGTAAAAGCTTTTTCAGGGAACTGTTTAGTTCTCGTAAAAGTTTTGACATGTGAGGGAAGAAAGAGGAAACGACTTTGTCACATGGTAACGTCTTATAAATTTCTCGTTGTTACACACATTATTATGGACTCAAGAAATGTTTTGTTTTGACATTTTTACTGAGATTTCTCTCTGAATGGTATCTCTGCCATTGTTTCTTTTCCAGGCAAATTATACAGATCCACAGAGCAAGCTGAGATTCAGTAGCATTGAAGAATTTGCTTACATTCGGATGCTTCCTTCAGACGTTGTTACAGGTTACCTGGCATTAAGAAAAGCAACGAGTATAGTTCCCTAAGACTTGCAAAATGCCTTTGAGTGACCAGCCATGGATTGGGATAACATTCAGTGTTTTAAATAAAACTCTGATTGTGGCATTGAGATTATTGGGGGGGTGGGAGGGGTTTGTTACAAATTAATACTCATATTTATGTCTGAAAGTGGCTGGATTGAAATGTGCATTCGAAAGAATATTTAATTTTAATTTTGATACATCTGTATATTTGTTAGCTTGCTGACTCTTAAGAATCCTGTTGTAGTCAACAAAAGATCCTGAATGTTTAGGGTGCAGTCCTGGCCCTACTGAAATCCGTCTGAGTTTTGCCAGTTACTTCAATGGGGCCAGGATTTCACCCTTGCTATTGTTAAGTGCACTGATATTTGTCTCAGAAGAAGAATGAGTGATCTGAGCCCAGGAGTAGTGACCAAGAACTCCTGAGTTCTAAACCTGCCTTGCATATGGAGAAGTCACAAACTCTTCGTTTCAGTTTGCCCCCTCTGTAAAATACTTGTCTGAATACTGTTGTGGGGATTAGTTGGTTAATGTCCATTAAGTGTATTGAAAATGAAGATGTCTATTCAAGTGCTAATATGCTAATATTTATATTGCAAACTTAAATATGGGGCAGGGCGCTGGGTGGGGAAACAGATACTGAATAACTTGGGATATTTTAGCTTTCAGATAATCAAGAGAACTGTCATTGTAATTAAAATTATACACACAAACTATGATACAAGACTCAATCATAATGAATAAGGAAAAGAGGGGTGAATTAAGGTTGCATAAATTCTGGCATTTCCTTAACTTTTGAGTACTTGACTTTGCAACCCTAATAATAATCTTTTTAATGTATTTTTTGGTATGAAATTTCCTAGTTTAAAAAACAAACAAACTGAAAGAACAAAAATTCCATCATTAGCATCATAGAAACACCCCTATGGTTCATCAACAGGGTTGGAATCTTCTGATTCGCCACACTGACCTCGGTCGCAGGAACTAGTGGAGTAACTGATAGCAATAGTGGGTTGGCATCTGCTCTATGGACCAGCACTAGAGGGGTGTTAGATGCTTTGCCAACTGATTTCACAGATATTTGTTCACAGGAGAGGAATGATGAGACTCGGAAATCTTGGATTCCAGTCCAGGTTTTAGAGGGGAGTGTGATCTAGTGGGCACAGTCTGTTCTGCCTGTTCCTCCTCCTAAAGTGTGATCCCCTCTGCCTTTTCCCCTCCAACCTGTCTCTGTCCTATCTCTTCCCCATGCCTGGCTCCCTGTCCCAGCCTCCTTGCCCCACAAGTCCTCATCTCACCCATTTGGGCATCCAATCTCAGTCTCTCTCCTCCCCACCCAAGTCCCTTTGCTCAGTTATTCCAAGTCCCCCACCTCACTCTCAGCTCCTTGTCTTGTCTACGTGCCCAGTGAGTCCCCGTTCCCTCTCTCCCGGCTCCTCAGCCAGTCATTCTTTCCCTAGCCCTGGCTTCCAGTGTCTCACGCACACACCCACCCCGCCCAACGCATGCTCCCAGTCCTAATCTCCCTCCCCGAGCTACTTGGCTAGTCTGGGTCTCCCCTGCCTCTGGCTCCCTCTCCCAGTCTCTGCCCAGCTAGTCCCAGTTGTCCCCCTGCACCCAATCTTGTCAGATCTGTCTCCTCCGTCTCACTGCACCACTGGTTCTTAGTCCCATAGTCTTTTATTGAATTTTAATGGCCAGGTTAGGGAGGAACGGAGTCATGTGATCTTGTGGAATGAGCCTGGGCTCATGGTAGCAGGTCTGTTCTAATCAGAGCTCTGCCACTGACTCGCTAAGTTACCTTGAGCAAATTGCTTCATTTCTGTCCGTTTCCTCATTTGTGAAACGGGGCTAATGGTACTTAGGAGTCTAATCTCCTATTAATGAATGTCTGTACTGTGTTTTGCACACAGCGCCCTATGGCAGTGCTAATTATTATTATAGATTTTTCTCTACTGCCGGGATGTATACACAGAGTACTGTCAACATTGGCTTACTTCCAAGCCCTAAACAGGAAGGTTAATTAATGGGAAATTTCAAATTTACCGGCTGTATCTGGGATTTAAATGCCCATTTTTTATGATCCAAAACTTACAAAACAAAGTCAATTAAAAAATCTTTTTGACGTGTTTACAACAGGTCCCTCAAATCCTTGGATATTGGATAATGCCACAACTATATCCCAGAACAGGAAATAATAAAACAGTATATCTCACGTGATGCCAGTAAACATCAAGGCCACATTCACTTCGCGTATGTGTTTTAAAAGGGATGTTTTCTCCCTACTTTATGTACTGAAGAGGTGTTTAAGATAAGCTTAACTTTGATATGAAAAGAAATCTTGTAGTACTACTGTAAGATCAGTATTGCTTTGACTAAGCAGACAGCAGCTCAGAAAATTGGATTTCAGCACAGGTTATTGGCTCCCACAAACACATTTAAAATTCTTTTGGTACAAACCCACATAGGAATGCTTTTAGAGTCCACTTTTCCCCCCAGTTTTGTTATAGCCATGTTGGTCTCAGGATACGAGAGAGACCAGCTGGGTGAGGTAATATATTTTATTGGACCAACTTCTGGTGGGTGGAAGGGACAAGCTATTGAGCTTCCCAGAACTCTTTAAAGTCCCTAGCAGGTGTGCTGTTGGGGCATAACTGTAGGGGATCATACAATGTCACTGTGTAACCAGATTTGTTTAAAAGTTTCTACTGTATATATATATATATATACTGTATATTATATATATATAAATAAAATATCACGTTTGAAAACCTGAGTCTGTGTCATGCTGAATGAGATCGTAATTATTAGAGGCATATAAGGTTCAGAGGTCTGCATTTTTAAAAAAACAATATTTGATGGGCCCATCTCTTTGTGACTGTTAGGGTCCCTTTTTCTTCTCTCCTCTTGCTTGTTAGCTATTGCTTCCCTTTTTTCTCATCCCAAGTGGCTCACTTATAATCATTAAGCTGTGGAGTAGTCATGATAGGAAGTGAAAGAAGCAAGTCACTTGGGACATTTAATATTAAACTGAATAAAGTCAGTTTGCTATGTGGAATAATCAAAATATACTTGAATTGGTAGAAAGTTGAACTATAGCTCTTTTCCAACATCTGATTGTCATTTACTCCATCTTTTTGTGTGTATAGTGTATGGACCTGCTACTGTGTCACTGGTTTCAGTGAGAGCAGGATTATCTTTGTAATTACATACAAATTGAAAGTTGAACAAACCCAGAGCTAATACATGCTATTGAGAAGTGGTTTTTAAAATATATATTTTGGGGCAGCTTAAGGAGAGGTGAAGACTGAAAAGAACATATAACCTTATACATTTCCTTTAAATGGTAAGGAGAACATAGAAAGGAAGATAATTTTGAAATGGCAAACTTTTTTGAGGGGGAGCACCTTATTCAGAGAACGGATTTTGACTATTAATGCATCCCCATGTGCGGCATTGTCTGCTCATGATCTTGGAAGGGGTTAACTATTAAATGTCAAGACATCGCTGTCTATAAGTTGTCACCCATTGATACAGACCACAATTTATTTTAGTCTCAAACGTGTTTCTATTAATAAGCTCTATAATATTCGTGAATTATTTATCCACCAATTATAGTATCCCATTTTCCCCTACATAATTATGCCTCTAAGGACCTGATCCACCGAGGTGCTTAGCACCTCAAGTCCCATTGAATGTGGAGTGTCCAACAGTTTACAGGACTGGGCCCTGTGAGGGGGAATTTGGTTTCAACTTTCAAAGCTTTCTTCTTTGAGGGGGGAGGGTGGTCCCCTTAATTCAACACCCCAAAGAGGACCAGAACTTCTGTACCTAAACTCAAAGATCTCAGATCATCCACTAACGGCCTAGTCCCCCCATTCTGCCAAGTGTCCACTCACTGTTGTCCTGGAAACACCTTTGGGATGTGGTTCCACCTGCACAGTTTATTATAATCTTTGTTTGTAATAACTCATGTTGTTTTACACCTTAGGGCCCTGTTGAAGGGTACCATGGAAAGCAGTCACTCTCAGAGCACAACAGTTCCTCACTTTCTCCCATCGAGGAATCTGCATCCTCATGGAGCTCCCACCTAAGGGTATTCACAGAATCTAAAAGAAGCAAAGGAACATGGTGAGGAGTTGCCTTTTTCTCCAGGTTTGCAAAAGGGAATATTTGCATTTCTTTGCTGTTAAAGGAACAGTGAATGAGTAGGCTACAACTTTAAAACAAGTTTCATAAATTATTCTGTGAAGATAAATGCTCAAACCTCACATGAAATCCATTCTCTTAAAGAGAAATGAATTAGCAGTAAAGTGAAGACAGTTTATCACTTGAGAATTTATGAACTGGTTTCAAGGCTTCTTAGAATCTGTAACTCATTTTTTTTGTGGCTTACATATGCACAGACTAGCATGTAATTTTCCTTTCTGAGATACGGTGGGAAGGAGAAAAGTTCACAGATTTGATAATTAGATTCTGAAAAGGTCACACGTAAAGTCCTTTTTAAAGAGAGCCAGCCAAGCAATATCTGTGTTACTGCAGAACACTTCAATCACTCAGAAGATGATGATCCCATAAATACTAGAAGAATTCATAAAAATGCCTACTTATTTTTTTCATTTTAGCCTGTGTGTTCTGATTACAAACCACTTTTCTTTGCCTGCTGAAAGGCGGGTGGAATGTAATACAGTAATACATTTTCTTGTAAGAAAAAACATTTTGTTTAAGTCCACTTGGCATCGCCATGTATTGCTTGACTTGGTTTTCTATTATCTGAGGAGCTTAACAAATCCAGTAGTTTCAGATGACTACACTATTGTAAATCACAGTCTACAGAATGCAATAGGAGTAATCTCTTGAGATACCTAATAATAACTAATAAACTGTGTTTAAAGTACTGGTAAGTATTGCTTGTGTAATTGAATAAGGTTTATGACCTATGAGATCACAGGTTTTAAGTATAGAACATCACTTTCCCTGCTGCTGTAGCCTGAAAAACAATAAGTACTACATATAAATTGTAATACTAGTGGACTAGATAATATGATTTTTATATTTTAAACTTACTGTTGCCAGCACCTCGCGTCTGGGGTCGATTTTTCTCTCAGTTACTTGACTTCAGGGACTCAGTTATTTGACTCTGTTAAACTTGACATTAATTTAACAGAATAGGATCTGGTCACGGGAATTTCAAAAATCTTCCTCAATGTACTATACCTGGGACTCACTAACCTTCACTTTGCACAAAATTCCACCAAATGAAAGGAACGAAAAAACTATCTCACCAATGCAGGCTACCTGTACCGCACACATGCATTTAAACAGACCATTTTTTCCATGTAACAAGTTTTACTTTAATGTGAAACTTTTTTTTTAATTAAACAAGAGGGAACAATCCTCTAGTGCACAGATTTGTGACCACAGATAAAGTATTATCAGCATTACAGTGAAGAATGTTGTTTCATAGTAGAAATGTTGGGTCAAATTAGTCTGGCATATGCGTGTCCAACTCCCCTGATTTCAGTGAAATCTCACACACTTATGCAAGCAGTGGATATGGCCAGCTCTCTCCTTTAAGTTCTTACAGTAATTGGGTAACATACACTGGCAGCCACATTCTCTGTAACCCTGGACGATTACCTCCAAGAGATTAAATTCCTTTGGTAGTGTGGTTACTTTTAATATTTCTTAAGCAGCAATGTAGACCAGGCCTAAGTCGATGTAAATTATGTCGCTGGGGGAGGGTGTGTGTGAAAAAAATCACTCCCTGAGCAACGTAGCTTACATTGACCGAAGGTGGTATCTACACCATGCTATGTTGCTGGGAGATGCTGTCCCACCAACTTAGCTTTTGCCTCTCAGGGAGGTGGAGTACTGAAATCAATGGGAGAGCGCTCTGCTGTCGACTTATCGCATCTTCATCAGACCCACTGAATCAATGCCACTGCATCGATCACAGCAGCGCCGATTTAGCGTGCCAGTGTAGACAAGCCCTTACTGTTGCAGCGCCACCAGAATAGCAATGATTAGCATAGAGAAGACTCCATTTGGCACCTGCCATTTAAATGCCATGCACCTTAGCTAAGGTCCATTGAAGACTATGGAAAATCTGTCATTAACTTTATGGGGTTTTGGATCATCATGGCCCATGTCATCCAACCCTATTCAGAACAGGTCTGCACAATACTGGGTTTGAAACAACAGTGTCCATGAAACACCTTGTGTCTACTAGGACTCCCACTGTTGTTACCAGTGTTGGAGCTGAACGGGTGGTAGCAAAAGAGGGAAATTTTAAGGGGGAAAAAAATGCTAGTGTAGACAAGGCCATAAAACTTTGTCTTTGGAATGGTGACAATCTCTCCCTAGCTAAACCTGTTTTTAGTTTGCCGTTATCAACCCAATTTTGTCATCTCCCCTGTCAACTTTTCCAAAACTGAGGCAAGAAATGTCTCACAAATTATTATTTTTAAGTTTGAGATAAACTGGACAAGTCATCATCAAAGATGAGGGCTTAAAACTCCCAGGTTTAAAATACATTTTTCCAAAACTGTGTTTTTGTTTTTGTCTCAGGAAGAACAGTAATAATGGGTGTCCTTAAAGACTCACACATCGATTGGTCAAATATCACCTCAGGATAAGGGTTAGAGAAGGAATTTCTTGACACCTTAAAAATTATTTCTGTAGGGTGAAGCTAGTTTCAGAGCACATAAAAGGAGAAGCTATTCTAGATTCAGTCCTAAAAAACACACGAGTTAGCTCAAGTAGTAATTATAACTGAGTCACTAAGTAATAGTCACCAAAATATAATTAGAGTCAACCTCGTCCCATGTAACACTAAACTCCTAACAAATGGGGCATTTCAGTACAAAATGAGTGCTAGTCAAAAGAGGCCCTGATTCAAACAAGGAAATTGAAAGCCATAGATAGGTATGCAAGCTACTTAAGCAAACCGTTATAGAGTCACAGAAGACATGCTAAGTAGACAAAACAGGAAGCAGGAAAGCTAGAAAGAAAATAGCATAGCTACCTGGCAGGGTTCAAGAGGTAATTTTTCTCACACAGCTAGTGTTCAGCAAATGGCAATCCAAACCCTACTGAAGTCAATGGTGGGGGGGAGGAAGGGAGCATAAACAATGGCAGTTCATCTGTGAGAAGGGAACCTTAAAAGATAATAATTCTAACAGAAAGCAAAATGGTTCACGATCAGGTAAATGCATACATTGAATAGTTTAACATAAGGAAACATAGTTTTGGCTCCCCAGTTACAGTTACCCAAGTCTAACTATTCACTATTTATTTGAGAAACTTGACCACAAAACAAAAAACCTGAAGACAAAACTCTTTCAGGTTTTGCTCAGCACCTCTCATGATCAGATACACTGGCACCTTTCCCAAGTCTTACCCCTCTCTTTTCCCTCCGAGCTTCTCTAGGGAAATTTGCCCCAGTGTAACAACATCCATGTAAATACATTGCATGGTGCAATTTACCCTAGTAACATACAACGAGTTGGCATTAGGGGTTTGCACTGGTGAAATTACACCAATGTAGTTCTGCCAGCGCAAATTTCTATCATCTGGATCAGACCTAGACATAGTAGCACAAATGGTACCTATCACCGCACATTGATCTCAGACTCCTGCAATAACTAGAAACAACGGTGTGGGTGAAAGACAGAGTGGCAGTTAGGCCAGGTCTATGCTACATAC